AAGGGGTGGGGGGGGGGGGAACAACACACAGAGCTGGCTCCCGCTGTTGCGTACCACTTGTCCAGAGGCAGCACAGCGGCCTAGTCCCACACCTGCTCCACCCCAGTTCAGCAAGCGGCGGGAAGGCATAGCCCCTGTTCCCAGCGCAGCCTGGTACTGCTCCCGCCCCACCTGCACAGATACTGGTGCACACACTCCCCCACCATGCCCTCCCTGATGAACGGCGGGACCTGCCGGACAAGCAACTTGCCCCAGTCACTCCTTCACCGCAAAGGGTCTTGATCTGCCCCCCACCACACCCCCTCCCTTCCATCACACCAGACTTACCAGCTGGATGCAGCTATATCCAGCATTGTAAAGTCGAAACCCACGTTGGAAGGTTGAAACCAGGTATCAATTTATAAACATCTTAAGTGCCATTCATCGTAACTCTAAAAGTCATAAGTCGAGGACTACCTTTACAATGGTACTCTCTCTCTACATACCTTGCTTCAGCCCCCCAATTCAAGGGGGGGAAGGGAACCAGCCAAAGGGCTGCAGCACAAGCTCACAATAAATTCTACTACAACTACATATTTTAGCACAGGAGCATTTATTCATGTTCCCTTCCCAGACCCTCCACATTGCAGAGTGCCAGTATTAGCACACAAATATTTTGTTGACTTTTCTATCTTTCCCCTGACCCTCTCTCTTGGATATAAATTCAGAATGCTACAATAATCTGTACAAACACACCACATTTCAAACACCAGGAAATATTAAAACCATGCAGATTTATTGACCGAATCATTTAGAACCTCAATTATACATTAAATACCAAACACTAATAAATTGTATAATTATGGGGATGCAAATACTTGACAACCTCTATGTACTCTGCATATAAATTTCCAACCAAATCAGTATTTGTGGGGGTTTGTTTTTTTTTAAATATTATCTATAGCACAAAGTCCAACCAGGCACAGTATATGCTTAGCCAGGTGCTGTGCAATTCTCTGACTAGGGTTTACAGATAAAAGTTTATTGGCACAAGAGATACATGATCAGAGATCAAGGGCTGAAGAAATTCTTGTCTATCCAACTGTTAGAAATTATTAAAGTTCAGAAGGAACTCTGAAACTTGATTTACCATCCAACTCCACCCCATTATTCATAAGCCTAAAATGATAACTATAATTAAATTATTAGATTTAATTATGATGCACAATAAATATAAATACAAAGAGCAGAAGGAGTGACAATGAAGGCCTTAACAAGCTAGTTACTGTTAAGGGCAAGACCTGAATTTACAACAGACTTTATGAACCATTCTAAGGGAACAATTGTGTCATTTTTGGCTGTCATTGTGGCTGCACTTGCATTATTCCCCGTCATCCTCTCAACTGCCCTTACCGGATAAGACAGAGTACATCTAGCTTCAATATTTGCACTATAAAATGTGATTAAAAGAGGTATAGGACATGAATTACTGCAAGTAGTTGTTTTCTGTAACAGTCTTTTTTTTTTTTCCCCTAAAACACTCTGTTAGTCATCTTCCGAATGTGCCCCCACACATGGAACATATGATGATAATCTATTTATCTTCTCACTCATGTTCTTGTGCTGCAGTCACCACACTCAACTTAAAATTCCCTATGCTATAAACTTGCCCTTTGTAAGTTGCCTTATTTCTCTCAACCAGAGATGTCAAAGATTGGGCCAGATCAGGCCCATGGACTGTCCCTTCTCCAGCACCTAGGGCACCTGCACTGCACACAGTGCCCACTCCAAACTGGCTGGGGGTAAAGAGATTATTTAAACACCCTGGCTCTAAACTCATCCATTCTCCTTTATAAGCCTAAGTAATATCCTCCTTTATAAGCCTATCTTGCAGTAAGTCTTAAACAGATTGTCCTCTAATGTAGTGTAACATGAGAGGATCTAATCTTGAGGTTACTACTTAGCACCTTCTGACAACCAGACTGCTTTTAAAAGGTGTCAAATTGAAGATTCCAACAATTAAGTTTGAAGAGAGAAAATTTTCAGAAGGACCTTAATGTCTTAGTTGTTTCGGTACCTCAGTTTTCATTTTCAGATAGGGTTTAAGAGTACTGGCATGCCTCCCAGGGTGTATTATGGTGTTCCTGAGATGAACAGAAGTGCAGTCTAGTTTTACTGTTAGTTTTTGTGAAAACTATTGGTTAGTGCTCAAGGGCAAATGAACATTTTCTTTGCTATAAAGTAGCTGAAGCATTAAAAGATTGCCTGTGTCAACTGCTCGACTCCAATTCATTCCTAGCACTGCTCCATAACCACAGTCCTCACCCAGCCCATAGTTGTAAGTTCTTCCTTTAGTTTCACAATTCTGAATCTTCTGTGGATCCATTATATTAGCTGCAGAGAGACGTGGTAAAATTAGTCAGGCTAGAGCTGCTTCTGGTGGATTAAGTGCAGAACTGGAAATTGCATTTCCTAAGGCGCATCTACACAAGATGCTATGTGCAATAGCTCATTGCTACTGCACAGTAGCGTTGGCAGGCACTAACTGTTGCACTTGTTGCTACTGCGCAGTAGTGCCTGAAAACAACTGTCTGGGGATGCTACTGGACAGTAATGCTGGTTACTACACAGTCATTTACTAGTTCTAAATGACTGCACACTCATGTAGACGCAGCCCTAGGGAACTTTTCCTTTAAAGTACCTGCTTCTTCCTGCCTGTTCTCACCTTGTCCCAGGAATGCAATTAAAAAATGCTAAAGGAAGCATGAAGAAGTCACTGATTGAATCACATGAAAGGCAGGAAAAGGTGTGCAGAAAATTACAGATTACCATTCAAAATGTTTAACAGAATTCTAGATTGTAAAAAAGAGGTCTTTAATACAGTTGTAATGAAAATATGCCTATTACCTTGGGGATTGTTTGGATCACGGTTTAGAACTGCATAACGAGGAAGTAAAATGCCTTCAGCTTTGAGAATGCCATACACTTCTCTCCTAGAAGAAGAACACAAAAGCTACATAGCCAAAGAGGAAAGGCCCAACAAAATTTGCATTCTATAGTGCATGAAAAAGCTTACAGTATAAAACCATGAAAGTATTATGCTACTCTGTTAACTAAACATATATAGTGCTTCAAGAGTTGCCTATCTAATGATTTGAGCATAGCAATTTCAACCAACATCAACAAATAAAAGTCATATGAGAGAATGTTGTTTGCATTGTAATAGCAGCACATGGAAACATTTGCACCACCCAGGTACAACCAAAGTAACAAGAGCGCTCTGGCAAAACCTTTGCTGCATCAACTGGCAGTACTGGATGCATTAAATTTCTTTAGTGTACAAAGGGCTCTAGTCTCTCTCGATTTTATTAACTATTCGTTTGTTAAAATTTGCTTTTTCTGATGTAAAAGAAAATTTACTTTGGATGTTAATAGGGCCTCAGAATGTTAACAACCCAAAAGGCTCTGTATGCATTGTGGATAAAATCTCTGTAATCTACTTTAAAGTTATACAAAAAAGCAAGGTTTTAGGCAGCATAATATAGCAAGAACTGTATGCAGTAACAGCATCAACCATCTGGGGGCATAACTGTTTTCTCTGGTGTATTCTGGAGAGACATACACCCATTCAAATGCAATTCCAATCAGATCGTTGGTTGCTTCACAAACAGCATTATCTTGCACAATAACCATCCTCAGACTCTCCACACTGCTAATATCTGACTACAATGACTTGGGCAACTGCAGACTGAAATGCTCCTAAAGTCAAATCAATTATCTATAAGACAGATAGCAATTACAACTGCTTCTGCTGAAGCAAACTGAAAGTGCGGAAGCTCATTTACTTAATTTCAAAGAAAATCATCATCAGGATCTCATTATTATTCAGGCTTCACAAACTCAAATGACTTGAGTATTAGGGGCACATGAAAGCAAGATTAAGATAATTATTGTTTGTAGTAACTTCCAGTATGAGTGGTAATGACAAAGATAGGCATAGTCTTCACTTTATTTTAGAAGGGCTGAGATTTTAAGATTTTTTGGCACAGGAACTTTCACTAGACTAGCACAATGGAGTTAGGAGACAATTCAGTCTTTAGAGCTAACCACAAAATAAGAAATAAAGTACAGTTCTAACAAAGTAATCAAAAACCACCTAGTCCAACCCAAATTAAGGCTCTCAAGTACATCTACAATTACTAAAAACTTATTTGATAAGTTATTACTATTTGTATACACAGAAACCACCTACATCTGAGATGTCAATCATAATTTTATTGGGAGTACTGCAGAAGAAATACATGTCCTGTACCCATCGCTAGGCTGGCAGCTCCATGGTATTCAATACCACGAGTCTCTTCCCATGTGTTAAAACAATGGTGTGTGCTGGTTTGCAGCCAGACAGACTTGAACCATTTTATGCCTAATTTGTAGTTGTTACTTACCTATCTTGTATGTGATACTGCATATTCAAGTCATTGATTACAAATGGATTCCTGAGTTTGGCATAGGCAACTGCTTTGTCCAGTGGAAATCCTAAACAAGGTTTATTAAGGAATATAGATTAACTTTCTAGGGTTGTGTTTCAATAGTTTAAAATACTCTTTAATTTCAAAATTACACGTGGCCTGCATGTCAAAAGAAGATTTACCTTTAGAATGAAAAGAAATGAGACAATCGCAAAGAGGCCAGTTTTCTACTGCTTCATTCAAAATAACATCCTCTTCAAATATTACCACCATGATGTATTTAAACATGGAGAGGCGTTCTAGAATTTCCTTCATTGGTTTGGACTTGGATTTCTTTGCCATGGAACATATCCCAACTACAATTTGCCTTTCCGGTGGCTGTGTCAAAATAAGGTTAAAAAAGAAGTAGTAAGTTTTTGTTGTTTTGTTTTTGCTTTATAAAGCTTCATATTTTGCAATAATGATATAATGTTGGATAAATACCTCAAATTCCCATCCAACATGTATATGTTACTTTTAAGTAAATCTTGTAATTGTTTACAAGATTAAATGTTAACAAAAATACAGTATCTGATGACTTGTCTTGCCATTTTCATTTAGAGAATTATTTAAATTGATAGTTGCACTATTGGTATATTTCTTTAACAATTCAAAAGCATTTTAAAAGATGTTGTTGTAGATCCTTTCAATGGGGACAAATTTGAAAGAATCAATAATGGAGCTGTGAATGTCAAAATGGGTGGTTATACAACTAAGAGTCATCATAAAATGAAGCTGCAAGTCATTTAAAACGATTTCATTTTTAAACAAAAGCAGGAATCCCAACCATGAATATTTTATTACCTATGACTGTTATAAAATCAATTAGGATTATAATAAAAATAGTGGAAAAAAAATTCCTATTTTGTCCTGTTTTACTTCATGCATTTAATACAGTGATCAGAGATATGGGTTTTCAAGAAAATTTTGAATTGGAAAATTTTCCAGAAAACTTTCCAATGCCCTAAATAGAGCGCGATCTGATTTAGCATGTTTATTTGACTTATATTTAGTAAACAAAACTAAAAAAGTATCTCCATGTCAATTTTAAGTCCTAACAGCCACAAGTATTTGAACTGAAATATTTGATTAGGAAAAAAATTAAATGCAGCACACTTAATGTGGTTTAAATGTTATATTCAAACAAATTCAAAGCTCTGGGTGGAAATGAATTATTTTTATTTGAATACTTGTAAAACTGTAAAGACAATACACAATAGCAAGTACTTCCCCTTACATTGTTTGTTTAAATTTAAGAAAAAAATACAAAGGCTCTGAAAACTCTTGACACTAATTTTAGCACACCCAAAGAACTGTGCATCATATGCTGTGGTTGCCCACTCATCTACTTCAACAGAGTTTAACTCTCTTCCACTGAGGTCACTGCGGCACCTCCGGTTTCACTGTCACTATCAGTAGAATCACTTGCACTCCTTATTAGTTCCATTTCAGAATCAGATTGAGGCAAACCCGTTTCAGAACTACTTGAACCACATTCTCTCTCGCTAAACGATAGTTTTACCAATGAATCTATGGGCAAGGGCAACTTATCATCACACTGCATCTTCTTCACTAACTTGTGTTTCTGACTGATTCTCCACAAGCAAGAGATTTTGAGAAACAGAAACAAACTTAGTGGTGTGTTCGTTTGTTAGTCTATTACTCCTTTTTTGTCTTGATTGAGCTGAAAGGCTTCCAGTTCTGTTCCCAAGAAGCTGCTGTTGGTGGGATGGCTTAGAGCAATCCTGGACAATAGATAGGTGTTACAGTATCCCTTCCACCATGTGAGAGGAAACATTCTCTGCTGCCCGCCAAATGATGTCTTTGCTCCCAAGTTTTTCTTTTGTGCGGTACCCAGCAATGTCTGTCATCACGGCTATTCTGTCAATGTTGGTGACATTCTTAGCTACTTCCATAATTGTAATCAAGAACGGTAGATAATTCATCTTCTGATAAATGGTGTCCTCTGTGTTAAGGATCCAAAGGGTCTGCTGCCAGATGAACTAGATGAGAGCAAAACTCAGATCTCTTAGTAAACATTTCTATTACTACTTTTTTTGGATAGAGGTAAAGGCGGCAAAAGCTCAGTTAGATTTTCATTCAATTGTCTGAATGTCTGGAATATTTGAAAGGCTTGGTGCCTCTCCTTCAAGTTTCTTGATAGCTATTGAAACTGGTACTAGCAAATTGAATGCTCCTTGAACTCGAACCCAGAACACATCACTGTCGAGAACCTGCATCCAAATGTTCACAGAAATAATCTGGGATACTGTGTCATCTATTGAAGCACACTGAAAACAGTTCTTTGTGCACAGCAAACTATGTAAACACTTTGTAGCCAAGCCCCATCTAGTTTCTCCTGGCAATAAAAGTACACTTTCCTTCCCCTGCTTCTCTTTCTGTAATATCTTCAAAGTCTGATTAGGAACATGATGATTGTTGAATACCTTTACACTTGCTTTGTAGTTTCCCATTACTGTCTTCACTGTATTCATACTTACCATGTCCTATGCCAGAAGATTCAACCCATGAGCAAGACAGCCAAATGCTTTAAATGAGGATACTTTGCCTTTAATATTTGCCATACAGCTTTCATGTTACTTGCATTCTCAGTTACAAGGGCTTGTACCCTGGAGGGACCTGCACTTTCAATCTCTTCATTCAGTAATTTGGCTATGTATTCACCTGGATGATGAGATGTGGTAGCAATTGCTTTCAGGAATATTGGTTCAGATGTTGCTAACATAATGTTCAATAAAGGACATTATGTATCAGTCCATCCATCTGACATCAGAGTCAGTGATTCTACTTGACTGATCCTTTGAATAACCATTGTTTGAATTCTGTCATACTTTCCATCTAAGAGAGAATGTGCTAAGTGATAACGTGACGGTAACTTATATGATGGGCTAATCAGTTTATAATGTTCCTTCCAGTATTGATTTTCAGTTATGGAAAGAGGTGTACCACTTGCACATATAGCTTCAGCTAATGTCTCATGTGCTTTTTCTTGATCTTCTTTTGACATTTTGTCCACAAAGCTTGATAAAAAGCTTGACTGTCTGTAACAGCTACTCATGGTGAATCACGTATCTGGTGACAGTTAACCTGAAAGCAAGGATCCTGCATCTTCTTCCCCAAGACCTGGGAGCTCAACATTTTCATTTTCCATTTTTTGCAAATCTGCTATTTCACTTGAGCTACCAAGTTCCTGCAACAAAAGGGGGAAAAGATTTTTATTTTAGCTATTCAAGTCTGGCCTCATCCATCAGAAGGAGAAGCGGCAGGGAGCCTGCTTCTCTCCTCCCTGCCAGAAAGAACACTGCTGCTCAACTTGCTGCTCAGTTGCCCTGGGACTGCAGAGCCAAAGCAAAGTCTAATCTGGCCAGTACCATCAGCCAGAGGACTAAGCTCACTCTGCTGCAGTTAAATAGTTAACGTTTATCTATCATGTAATTTAAAAAAAAATATATTGTTAAGCCTAATCCACTTTGGGTGCTCAGCGCAAGCAGAAAACAAATATTTTAAATAAATAAATAAATAAATAAGAGCCCAGAGTTGCATTAACAGCTTTTAAAATTACAATGTTTTAAAACAATATAGGTGCTAGTCTATACAGTGTGTTGTTTACCATCTTAAATTTGTTTACTTACATAGGATTTCTGAAGTAGGCTTTTCTCAGACGATATTGTTCCACCACTTGGTTGTATTTGCTTTCTGTATATGGCTTGTACTCTTTCAGGACAGTTTCTACATGTTATTAAATGTTTCTTCATTCTTGTTGCGTTGTTAGCATACTCCTGCCCGCAACATTTACATCTACCAACTGTCTTCCTTCCTTCAGTGGCTTGAACTTCACTATAATGATGCCACATGCTATTTTTTTTCTGATTAGGAATTATTATGACTACATCAAAGCAACAACACTAAAAAACTAACAGATCTTATGCAAACACTTCCAACTTCCCCAACTCAGGGAAAAAATGAGACACTGTTCTGTATGTTTGCTGAACTGAAAGTGAAACAAAAACTAATCACAGTATTAGTTTTGGTTTTGCTTTCACATGTAGTCCGATGAAATAAGAATTTTAGCTTTGGTTTTGATTTGACCTGCACAGCCAATTAGGTGAATTCATAACTTCATTTTTGGTTTGGATTATTATGTGAGTGTATTTACCCTACTGTTTAAAAAACAAAAACACATATGTACTCTCTCTCACACTTCCTAGAAATAATCACCTGAAAAACATTAATTACAACTTTGAAACTACAAAGCTTGCCTAATGTTGTATTGGCCTCCATTCATTGTTACTAATGAATTTTATGAAACAATTAATTTTTAGAAATGGAAAATTTCCCATGGAAAAATAAAGCACTGGAAAATTTTCCACTCCACATCTCTGACAATGCCAAATTGTCTTTTAAAAAAAGTTACTTCAGTATGTGCATTTCTATAGACCACAGGGAGTAATAATAAAGAAAGCAGAAAAATGGCAATCGCTTACAAGTAGAAAAAAGGAGTCATGGAAAGAAAAAAAAAATCTTAGGGTGAATTTCCACTACAATCAGACATGCACTTGTGTTCCTGAGATAGCTGTACTCCAGTTTGTCTGGCTGACTGGATGCAGTGAAAACACAACACCATAGGCTTCAGTTGGCCACGTAATTATGATCCAGGGCACACTACACACAAACCTGCACTGCCAACGTAGATATACCACTATCTACTATCTTGCCAATCATAATTGATCATGTGGTAATCAACTACCCCAACAGCAGAAACAGATAGAATGAAGCATATTTGATTCAAATAGTTCCTATACTGATAAAGTTTAAGTACGTACAGAATCATACTCTTCTTCCTCTTCTTCTGCATGGTCATAGAAGCGATTGAAGTCTGAAGATCTGTCCGGATCCAGTAATTCATCTCCATCTTCACCACCCACAAAGAATCGAGGAGGGTCATTCTCTGTTTCAGTAACAGACATGACTACAAGAACTAAACAGACCTAAGCAGAGACAGCAGCCACTTCAGCAGCCAAGATACTGGGCATATTCCCAACGACTAGGAAACACTAAACCCTTGCAGTTTATCACTGGATGTGCTGTCACTTGCTATCGTGATAAAGTCAGCTGCCAAATGCAGTTTTATTGCTATCATCTGTTCATTGTTGGTTTACATTGTTGCTCCAAGAAAACCACCACAGGTTACCATTTCCCTGAGATGATGTGGCAATCTTTTATCCTAAGAGAAAAAAGAAAAGAAATATATAATCACATGCACATTAAATGTAATTTTAAATTTCAAGCTTTGCAATATTTATATGCCTTTGGGATAAAAGGCAGAAAATTATTTAAAGAAAGGGTATCTCTTTCACACACAAGCACACCTGCACCCACCCTGAGCAAAAAATTAAATATAGGATCGCACCATGATTAGAAAATTTGAAACCAGGAAAAAATTTATGATGAAACCTGCTCTCCAAAAAATTCTACAGTAAGAAAGGAAAAACTATATCCTTACTTGATGTCGAGTTTAAATTTCTAGCCTGCTTCACACTTAAAGATTTCAAAAATCAATGACGTGTGGCCTTTTATACCGCAGAGAAAATACAGAATGGCAGCCTTTTGTTTGATCGTGAAGTGTTTTTAAAAAAATTAGATTTACTATTGGTTGCCATGTATTATGCTCATTTATACAGTAATCTAAAAGCACAAAGTAGCTTGGTCAGCCTAGCTGTACAGAAAACCAAGGAGTCCTGACACAGAGTCCCCTATTGTAATTCCTATACAACACTTCTTCCCATTACAGTGTGTGTGCATACTATGCTCTTATGTTCACTTTATTATTTCTTTGGACTGCTGTATGCTGCATCAATTCTCTTAATACACCCCAGGAAATTATGGAATTATGTGCCCGCGCAATTTTGTGCATAAAACATATGACCATGCATAATTTAACCCAGGTGGGCTCTGCCTCCACCAACATAGGGCTCCCAACACTCCAGCTGAGAGCCCCATGTGGAGGCACTGAGCATGGTGGTGCATGACTGGACAGCTGATGAGTGCGGAGGGAAGCTCCTGTCTGCAAGGGGAGGTGGGTATGGGCCCCTGCACCACACGCTCACACCACCCCATGGTGCATAGCCCTAGCTACCAGTGGTAGCAGCAGCAGGCCCTGAAGGTGATCATGGCCACAGCAGGCGAAGCCCCCTGGTGGTGTGTGGCTCCAGCTGATTCCTGGGAGCTGCACATCGGGGCACAGAGCCAGCCTGGCTGATGTGCTGGCATGTGTCTTCAACCCAGACCACGCTGGCTCTGTGCCAGCACATGGAGCCTGCAACACTGCAGGCAGGAGCTGCACACCATCAGGCTGGGACTTCTAGCACTCCAGCAGAAAGCCATACATGGAGGCAAGCCTGGCCCCATGGCATGCAACTCTGTGCCTCCACATGTGGTTTTCTGCTGGAAGCCCCATGAAGAGGCATGGAGCCCACCTGGCCAGACAGCATGCAGCTCCTAGTCCAAGCACCATTGGGTCTGGTGGGCTCCATGCCTCCCCATGGGGCTTCCAGCACTCCAGCAGGAAGCCACACGTGGAGACACGGAGCCCACCGGGCCCAATGGTGTACGATTCTGTGCCTCCACGTGCAGCTTCCTGCTTGAGTGCTGGAAGCCCCATATGGAGGCAAGGACAATTATTCTCAGAGCCAGTTAGTCTCTAAGGTGATAACTACCCAACTTCAGGCTAATTACCACATTTACTCAAATACAAGACAAAGTCCCCCCCCAAAACTGGCATGGGAAAAAGAATCTCTCGTCTTATAATCACATAAGAGGAAATCTCACTAAATACACTGTTTATCATTAAATTGTTGCCAAAAGCAGCATGTGCTCAGCAATGGAAACCAATGATGAGGTTGATTAAACGTTACCAATGCTGAGCATAACTATAAAGCACATGGCCCACATTGGGCAAACATGGAACCTACCACAAGGATGGTTAGTGCAACCCACCTGAATAAAACATATGCTAGTGATCACTAAGCACAAGCCTCTGCACCACCACCCCTTTTTAAAGTTATAGTGCACCATGACATCACATAGCCAGAATCCCTCTGTTGACCCTTATCAGCCTGGCACATGACTAGTGTGGTCCCACTCAGTGTTCCCTCTAGGCTGCACAGGTGTGCTTGTGCCGCGCTGCCAGGTGCGCCTGCACGGCCATGCACACCACACAGTTTAGAGGGAACCCTGGTCCCCCCCTCCATGAGGTGAAGCTGAACCAGGTTGCTTTGCGCCTCATCTGCAGATACATTTTTGGAGCATCCCAGGACTTGCGACCAAAACACCTGATTCCAGCCAAGGGAGGGGGCTAATTAGGACATGGATCCTTGAAGGGAGCAAATCTGGAGTATACACACATAATGACCAAGGCTGAGCTGTAAGGTCATCATGGAGGTGGGACCACACTAATCATATGCACCAGGCTGAGAGAGGGTGCGACAGAGGGATTCTGGGTGAACTGTATGCAATGTTGCTTACCAGGGCGTGACATTCTGTCGACTCTGGTGGGTCCATCCCAACTTTGCAGTAGGTTATGAACCTTCTGGCTTTGGATTAATACCATGCATAGCTTCTCAGCCTCTTGTAAACTAAGATTAAGTGTAGTTACAGCACTGGTGTGACACCTCAGCCTAAATGGATTTAAAATAGCACTGTGTAGTGGAGGATGCACCCTGGTCCAAATGCAGACAGGACTCCCTACAAGAGCCTCATAGTTAGTTTCCTACTGGCCAGCTTCCAGTAGGAAGATCTCAGCTACACGCCGACTTTATGGAAATGGGGAACTCCTCGCTAGCTTGTTCTTATATCCATGGGCAAGTGAAACTCAGGGGCATCTGAACCCCAAGCCTCTGGGCTTTCACCTGCACGTACGATGCCTGCCAATGGATTTGGAAGTACATGAATCCCCAGGCTGAGAAGTCAGGGGTGGAGGATACTTGCCGGTAGCAGAACCACATATGGTTTTTGAATGATTCAAAGGATTCAGAACTGATCTGGCCAATTTGACCTGGAATACCTGTTTATAAAACACCTCTGCTAAAACTTGCAGCAGTTTAAAAAAAAAATCCAACGTGCATCAATTCTGGATAAACTAAGTGCATGGGTATTATATGCAGACTACTACTGCCATGTTTAATTTCAAGGTTATTATTTTTAAATTTAGTTCTCACTTCCATGTGCTCAAGGAGAGCAGGATCTGACAGGAAGGGGAGGGAGAAAAGGTTGCCAGGGAAGACACTGGGATAAAATGAGAGCAAAGGGCTACCTGATCCCCCAGGTTTATTTCCCCTGCCGTAGCAGCAGGAAAGGGACATTTTCAATGGCAAGTCCCCAATAATTGATTCTACACCTGGAAAATAACAACAGGTTTATAAGTTTTACATATATAGAATATAATTATTGGTCTTGTATTCAAGGTCATCTTTTGTTCGAGTAATACAATACCCATCTCAACCTTTTTTTAAAGGTATTGTGAACTAGCTTGATCTACTCTAGTAAGAGTCCTGGCCTAGTAAAGGAACAACAGACCCTAAGTGGTAACACCCAACCACCATTCTCTAAAGAAGTTCAATTGTAACAGAGTTTTGCAATGAGACAACTAAGAAACTAGGGGATTCCAGAAAATAATCCCACAAAATATTTTTTTAAATGGCATAATACAACTCAAGTAAATTCAGCAATTAGAAGAAAAGATAAAGACAGACCTGGAGAACAGATATGGTGGGATATAAAAAGGGAAATCAAGATATAACTAGGTCAGTATATATAATACAAACATTGAACTTCTGCATATGGAAGTGTCTGGCACAGTGGTCTCTAGGGGTGTGCGGGGCCTGGGGCATATAATCCTGTGCAGGGCCTGTGGGGCAGAACGGGGGCAGGAGCGGGTGACGGGAGGGGTTTGGGGAAGGGAGGGCAGGGAGCACACCCTCTCTGTATCTGGCAGCCACCTACACCACCCCAAAGCTGGAGGTCCCCCGTGGGGCCCTAGGAAGGGGCCCCGATCCCTGCGTGGCTGCAGCATTGGTGGCCGAGGCTTTAGCTCCAGGGGACGC